GTCAAATATTTGACTTCTCAGTGTCTATCTATCGTTTAAGTGTTCAAATAGGAAGTATACGTACTTTAGGCATGCAAAATGCCTCTGTTTCTGTTGGGTGGGTCCCCCAGTGGCACAGCGACATGTCTGCGGACTTACAAGGCTAGAATCTGGGTTTCGATACCCGTGGTTGGCAGAGCACACATAGCCCATTGTGTAGCTTTGTGCTTAATTACAAAGAAACAAACTGTTGGGTGGAAATACATTTAATGTCAAGAGGAAATGTAATTATGCTATAGTAATATATGCCCAAGCTGATAGCATCATATTTTAAGATGAATTATTTCAATCATATATACAATTTTGGAAGTTATTATTTAATGAACATTACAGGATGCCACAAAAATAGTCATTATCAAAAGGAAATGAATGCGTCACGCAAGACAGAAATCTCATACTAGTAGATAGGATAGGTTGTTCTGGGTTTTTAATCGTAATTTTCAACTCATTTTAATGAAGTACTTCCCTATTTGAGAAAGGACTAAAGGCAAAAAAGAATGAAACATTGATCATATTAATACATTTATGAAAGAAAAACATCATAAACCATTTATATTAATTTCATATAAAATACCTACCTTTTGCAACAGATAGACGTACCATATAGAGGTAATATAATTTGCTTAATGTGTAGCCCTTTTTCAAGTAGGTCAAAACTTTGAATGGTGTATACTGTAGGGTGATCGATAACGTATAAAACTAATTTAAATAGTTTGCTAAATGACTAAATGAAACTAATGGCTAATTGTTATATGAAGGGAGTAAAATAAAATGTTAACGAATCAATAGGATGAAGGGTAAGTTTTAATTATAAAGCAATGCCAAAACCGAGCATGTCGAAGTAAGAACTCTAAAAAAAATATATTGAATTGTTATTCTAATTAGTTGACATGTTGTTTTTATTTAACATTCAAATATTTTTTCAAGCTGAAACAATTTGAAACAAATTAGAAATAACTGAAAAAGTATAAAAAAATGAACTATAAAAACAAGGTAAAAACCTTTCGATTTGCATACTTGGAGTTTGTTATCTACTATTATGTGTTTCATATTACAACTCATCCAGCAAGAGGTCATGTATACTTGGGGTTTGTTATCTACTATTATGTGTTTCACATTACAACTCATCCAGCAAGAGGTCATGTATACTTGGGGTTTGTTATCTACTATTATGTGTTTCATATTAGAACTCATCCAGCAAGAGGTCATGTATACTTGGGGTTTGTTATCTACTATTATGTATTTCATATTACAACTCATCCAGCAAGAGGTCAAGAAACACAATTGCAAATATTAATTGGAAAGCTGAAAAGCCTCAAAGATTCTTTCAGATGTGTGTTTATGTCAAAGCTATACTGAGAAACATCCTACGTCTAAACCACATAAAGATCAATTAAGTTACGATCTGTATCATCGTCCCAGCTAAACTTACCTTCAGAAGGAATATACATTTCTGCACTGACATGAATATAAATCATACTCGCCTAATATGAGTGCATAGGAAATAATATAATACAAAAAAAAACTTTGACAATGATGTGTATAAACTTTGAGAATAAATATGAATATAACTTAGCCCCCCCCAGTGGTTTATAGCACTAATAATGAATTTACATACTCATAGAGGGCACAGCACAGATAGTCCGGGGTGTAGGTTTGTGTTTAACAACAAACAAACAAATCACAACTATAGAGAAAAAGATGCATTCAATTTAGAATATCTCAATCATAGGCACGGAATAAAGAGTGCAAAGGAATTATACTGTAATTCAGGACAATTGTTTAAGTTATTATACTTGAGAGATATCCGGGTTCAAGATTAAGAGTAATAATCATGAAGAAGACTAATGCCAAATTAAACACTTGTTATTCAAGTGGTGATTTTGATCTTAAGAGTTTAAAAGCACTCTTTGTACTGAAAATATTGTGTCTACCTACCAAAAAAAAAAACTTTCACAATAAGTTCACGGATACTTTAATATAATTTTAACATTAACAGTAGGGTTTATGCTCATTTAAAGCTCTTTTAACTTCTAAGTGTGTTAGAATTTTAGATTTTTTTAGATTGAATCTCTGCCCAGTACTATACACGAGAGCGGCCGAAATTTATAATTGCATGAAACATTACTGTAAGTTCATTCATTTCTGCTTCCAGGATCTTGTCTCCTATTTCCACAAAAAAACGTAAACATCACATTACCCATCTTCTATCCTTCTGATGTTTCGTTCTACCAACTAATCGGTATACCTACAGATTCTATTAGCTCCTCTAGTGGAGGTACAGTAAACTATCAAATCACGAACGTGACTTTGCAAGAAAAAGACGGATCTCAACATGAAAGAAACGACTTATTTGCAATCAACTCTTCAACAGGCCACCTATCACTTGTGAAGCCTCTGGAGCCAAAAACAGACTACCTAGGTAATTATAGAATTAACGATTTTACAAGTGAGTTGAGTCACTATATTTCTTTCCTGTTCACCTTTTTTAAATATATAAACAATGTGATATTTTACCGTTATTTAACTTAATCAAACTTAGACGAACAATGTATTAACAAACATTCACAAGCTTTAACTAAAAATTTCATAGAAAAAGAAAAGAGATAATGTTCATATTTTACATACAAAAACCTACAAAATTTAATTAAAAAACACATTTTTTTCTGCCTCTGATATTGTGCTAGATAATTAGGATGCTACCTGAGAATAAATCAAGTTATAATGTTCTTATATGAGGATTATGTGTTGTCGCTGTAATCAAGTTATAAAGTTCTTATATGAGGATTATGTGTTGTCGCTGTAATCATATTATAATGTTCTTATATGAGGATTATGTGTTGTCGCTGTATATACCATTTATGGTATTACAGACACGTCTGGAGAAATATATTTATTGTTAACATGTATAAGCTAATGTTTATTTTGATGTAATGATATGACAGTTTGAATAAATAAACTAAATGTCGAAGTATTAGTACAGTTTTATGTAATACATATTATTTAGTCAGAATATTTTCCTTCCATAAAATTATATTTTTATTAATTATAATAGATCATTCATTATCAAGTAAAATGGTTTGTTGGACGGCGTATTTAACTCATTTTATTTTGATAAAAAACATACAAAAAAAGGAACAAATTAGTTAAAAGTAATTAATAGAGAAAGTTTAATCTTTGTCTCATAATATTCTTTGGTATCAAACGTCATTGCCCACAGTAGCACAGCGGTATGTCTGCGGACTTACAACGCTAGAAACCGGGTTTCGGTACCCGTGGTAGGCAGTGCACAGATAGCCCATTGTGTAGCTTTGTGCATAAATTCAAAGAACAAACGTCATTAATGTAATATACAATGATGGATTGAATTTTCAAATAGTTAATCGAAAATAAACGCGCCAAGATATTGACTATCTGTGGAAATGAGTATGTTTATCATTCAAAATTCTTCATTTGTAGATTGTAAGACATCGTGTGACATTAATCCGTATGTAATGATAACAACGAGCTATACCATGATTTCGTTAATATATCCAGGGGATTTCATATTCCTGTAGTAACTTCTATTTCATACAAAAGCACTTCATATAAAAAAATTCCTTGACTATATAAAAAGCAATTTTAAAAGCCCGTAATGTATAAGATATAGACACACATATTTGATTGTATTATGTATCTATCTGTATATATAAACATTGGCTTCTATTTTGAAACTCTTCAGTTGACACTGTGACCTGCAATTTTAATGACTGTATCTTGATGGCTCAATTTAATGTTATTTTTAGGAGCAAACTTTACAATAAGACTTCAGGCGACTGAAGGAAATATATCTAGCAGCACTTCCTGCGTGTTGAATGGAAATATATCCGATGCCAATGATCTGTGTCGGCCGAGTTTTCAGTTTTGTTTTTTGAACTCCTACGCGGAGTATGACGTCCCTGAATCTCTGGAACCTAACATTGTCTTCGATCATTTGCGTCCTCAAACTGTGGCTAATAGGTGTCCCTCCTTTAAAGCACAGTATGTTGTAATTAAAGGTGAGATTTTCAAAACATTTTTCCAGTTACGTATTTTTTGTATATGTATATTTATATCCTCATATTCCAAGATTAGATTTCGAATGATCCCATAACTCTTGAAATAAAATGTATTTTTTCTTTGCAGTATAAAAGTGAAAATCATTGTTCAGTGTTATCTATCTTAAGTAAAGATTTTCATGAGGAAATTGTGAATAGTTTACCTTTCAAATTGTGCAAACATTTAGTAGATTAACTTCCAGATTTATTTCTTTAAACAGCAGTATTTATATTGATTTGAACAGCTCAGGATTCAATAATTTCAGGAAACAGGTTTTACTAATCTTAATCATGTTTTTATTTCTATATTTTTATCATGTCTGTTTCATTAGCAGCAGTTACTTATCCACAATTGGAAAATGGCAGTATGGAGGTTGTCCCCCCAGTGGCACATCGGTATGTCTGTGGACTTACAACGCTAGAATCCGGGTTTCGATACCCGTGGTGGGCAGAGCACAGATAGCCCATTGTGTAGCTTTGTGCTGAATTACAAACAAACAAACAAAGTATGGAGGTTATGGGCTTGGGTATTCAAATCTGGTCGTGATGTTTAAGTTATTATTCTATTTCACAAGCCTCGCTTATATGTGGGTCGCGGATAAACTTTATGTTTCGTTTGTTTAGGAAAATTGGGAAAAGTACATAACGGCTATCTGCCCTAGCCGTCAAAACTTTGAATTTCTAGTCAACAGCACCCACTGTAAACTCTTGAGCTACTCTAATCGAATCGTGGTATTGAACAAGTCATTTGCATCAGAGACTAATTTTCCCAATGTGCGGAGCGCAATTTCGCGGCAACGGAAAGCCAATCACGCTAACTACTCTATCACGCTCGGACCAATAACCCTTATGTGACATTTATCGCAATTTAATTATGAAGATACCCGTCTTCCTAAGATACATTTTACTATCCACATGATGTATGTTGTTCCCCCGGTTTTATCTCTCTGTCCTATTTGCACGACTCCAATTATTTTATTATTTGAAATAATAATAAGAAAATTAAGGTAGCGAGATGCTGTAATGTTATAATGTCAATGTCTTACTTTGAAATTGTCATATATATATCTGTATATCATGTGTATTCCTACTACATTCTAGATCATATTACTCGAACGTAGGCGTTTATACAATACAAGACTTGATGTCTCCTGAACAATACGAACAATTAACGATTAACGTTTTAATTAAAACTATGTATATTGTAATTCAGCCGACCTGACTGACGACCTCAGGGATTGAACACGAATAACGTGAATTGTTCGAATGCTACTTAACCCTCTTCTTCTATAAGCCTATAAGTGGTCTTTAAAGAAGAACGTGTATCAGTGTTGTTGTGAAGTGCTATCTAGCATATTACCCCCTAAGGAAATCATTTTACTCAAGTGTTATTTCTGAAAGTGTTTCTTCTATATTTAACTAAAACATAATTTTCAGCTGACACTAAAGATTCCTTTTCTTATCACCAAAGGTTATAAAAAAGGTTAACAAACAATAAAGATGGTGGAAAATACTAGAGACAAAAATAACAGTTTCAGACTGAATAATTGATCAATAAACAAACTTCGTAAACGAGTCCCACGGAAGTGTAGTGTAATCTGTATAATTACAGAAAGCCTTACATACGTATAGGCAAAAGAAATTAGGTCTAAAGGATATCGACTGCCATTATTTATCTGATATAATATAATATAATCTGTGACATACGTGCCCAGTATATTCTTTGATTCGCCGTACTCTGCTTTGGAATCCAATTTTGCCTATTCAAAGTTCACCAGGACGGCTTGGGTTAGGTTTTAGGTTTCTACGTCACAGCTTATATTTTCAGTTTTAGTTGGGTCTGGTATGGCCTGATGTTTAGGCTCAGTGGTTTCGCACTTTGGACTCGAATTGTTGAAAGTTCTAGGTTAGCCCGCTTCATGCAAGACACTTTCACCTCGTGTTCCAGTTTTGGTCAGTTGTTGTAACAGACAAAAACAATAAATTACTATGTGATATTTGAACTCCACCGATAGTGTTCGTTTATAAGTCAGCCAATTTATTTTTACATACTGCTGATCGGTCTACCCTTAAGTTTATGTGTTTGATTTTTCAGCATATTACCCCCTAATGGTCTGGTATGGTCTGATGGTTAGAGCGCTCGACTCGCAATCTGCGGGTCGCGGATTCGACCTTTCAGCCGTGGGGTGGGGGCGTTGGTAAAATAGTAGCTCAAGAGTTTATGGTGGGTTGTGTTAACTACCTGCCTTCCTTCTAGTTTATTTTTGATAACTTAGGAACGGCTAGCACAGATAGCCCTGGAGTATCTTTGCGTGAAATTCAAACCAAAATAAAACCACTTTACACGTGCGTAATGCTTACAAATGACATGGCTGTGAAAAAACGTAAAGAAATTCTGTGTTTTGGGAATGCTTTATTAAGCCATACTTATATTAGATATCGGTGAGAAGAATAAGTCGTTTGAGTTAAAGTGGACTTAGGGTTCTTCCATATCATCTTCAAACTTGCTCTTATTACATCATTACATCTGGTGGCACTTATGCTAAAAAATTAACAAATCATTTTATTTCGTCATGCTTTTCTTACTAAGTATTTTTATTTCCAAAAAAATGCAGTAATCAACTGAGGCAATAGGCAATCAGTACTGCAGAAAAAGTCGTCATGTTAAAATATCAATTACTGTGTGAAAATTCAAGATAGTCGACGAAATAATATCAAGTTAATGCAGTTTACAGTGATATTTTTAAAGTTGGTTGTTGCTTTTTATGATGTATGTGTTGCTTAGTCTAGAGTTTACTTATTTTAGATCAAAAGAGCATAAAAGCCCTTTACTTTAAATACTACTTACGTATCACAACAAACAACCCCTAACGCAAGTATAATGATTCTCTGAAGTTTAGAGTTAAAATTTGCTCGGCAGGTCAGTGACCCGTATACGTCTTTTCCGTACGCGTCAACTACTACCAAGACGAGTGTAACCTTTACTTTTGTAATATAATGTCATGTTATGTGAGTTTGATGTCCTAATTCTGTATGTAGACGCACAATATAGTGTAAAATTGTTAGACATTGCCATCTAAAGTACTTAAATAAAAGAGTTGTATGCCATCGCATTTTTTTAATCCTTTCGAGTTGTCGCTATTCATATCTTGATGGAGAATAGGTTCTAACATAGGTATTTCTGAGTATCCACGATATTTTACGTATGGAGAAATAAGTACACAATAACGCCATCAGGCCATAATATTACACTACTATGACCATCGTAGAAGCCAATAAATAATCCAGAGAGCTGTAAGCCGATAACAGGGTAGTAAAATAGGATTTTTGTTGTGTTATCCAAGTAGGGTTAACTCCTCTCATTTCTTACTTTGCTTATATAAGCACTCTCGTGTATTTATGTTCTTGTGGGTTTATCTTATATTTATCTATTAAAATTGTAGGGATGCAAACATAATTTTCTGATGTCTGAACATGTTTTTACTGGAATATTAGTGAAACATAAAACCTTATTGACGTTCTTCTTTTTTCACTCAGGAAACACAGTTTTATCCATAGACCAGAGGAGTGGATCACTTTCACTTCGTTCCCATTTGGATGCTGATCAGAATGAAGCAATTCATACGTTCAAGATTCAATGCTCAGTTAGAAACGAGAGTTTCTATCTGGAGGGGAAAATGAACGTCTTCGATGTGAATGACAACGCCCCCTATAAGCCCCAAAATGTTGATTCCGTGATTAACGTAGATGTCAATAAAATTGAGAAGGAGGTATGTGAAAATTGAGAAAATAGTAGCTACGCTTCTATTGTTTTCCAGAATTTAAAAACCAGACTTATAAACTAACACACGTCGTTGTAACGATAATTGCTATATAGATTATAACTTTAAAAAAGAACGTAGGATCATAAAAATATTAATAACTAAAAAGCGAAAAATCAGGTCGTAATTAACAGTGCAAAACCATGGAGTTAATAACGTTTTCTGACTTTAATCGCTGACTAGATATTACCACCGTTTCTGCACTATTATATCACAAGTATTTTAATTATTATTCTATTATTCTTAAAATAAGATATAGTAGTGTTCATTGTGAAATTCATAATATTCTCTTAGAATACTATAACACATGTTTTGTTTAAAATGCATTCAAATCGCGGATAGATATCACAACTATTTCTTTATTTATACATTTTTAATGTCGTTGGTGAGTTGTAATTGTTTTTACAACTTGTATGACTTTTATGAGCTGCAACTAAAGAGAACGTACCGTTAGTACGTTATTACAACTGCTACTACATCATATGTCATCTTTCAACTCCTGTACTATTGTATATTGTTACATGTTTCATCATAACTAAAGAACAAACAGTTATTATATTATTACTACTATGTCATCTTTGTATCTTCTATATCACGGCTACAGAGAATTACAATTACTCCATGATATATTGTTATTACAACATGTAGCAATATTTGCTGTATTAGTTCTACCACGTTAATTATTTCTCCTAATATCATTCCAGGGTTCATACATTGATTACCAGTTCAATGTCTTCGATAAGGACTCTGCTACCGTCAATAATGTTGAAGCCCGCATAGAAAACGATTCTTTAGGATTCTTTAACGTTGTAATTACGGAGGTGTACGACAGAGCTGTGAAAGAAGAAACATTTACAGTTATAAGTAAGTCCAACAGAAAAATATGATTATCCCCAATTTTACGGTTATATTTCACCTTCATTTTAAAAGATACGGATTTTATCAAAATCCACCATTTCTCACGTTTTCTTAGCTAAGCAACAAAAACAATAATAATCCATTGAAGATATCTGGACTTCTTTTTGTACGAATTAAACGTTGTTCTAAACTCTGAGAAAGTTTCAGGATTGTCATTCAAAAATATCAGTGTTTTCAAGAAATAATAGCTTTCTTATGCTAACAGAGGGTGAAAAGTTTTCCCTCTTATTATTTTTCTTTTCGGAAAATAGAATATTATCCTTTTCATTAATTGACTACGTATCATACATACACGAAACTCGTACTCCACTGAACATGCAACAATCAAAATGTGAACGTCTCCTTTTCATTAATTGACTACGTATCATACATACACGAAACTCGTACTCCACTGAACATGCAACAATCAAAATGTGAACATCTCCTTTTCATTAATTGACTACGTATCATACATACACGAAACCCGTACTCCACTGAACATGCAACAATCAAAATGTGAACATCTCCTTTTCATTAATTGACTACGTATCATACATACACGAAATTCGTACTCCACTGAACATGCAACAATCAAAATGTGAACGTCTGTTCTCTTTTGGCAAAATGTTTATCGACACTAATTAATAACTACAAATCAGTTAAATTCATTATTTTAGCACAACTTTACTTGTTATTTATGAATACTCTAATGTTTAGGCCATCATAAATAACTGATATAAATTGTAAGGTTTCTGAAGAACGAGTTTGGTTGTTTTTGAATTTCGCCAAAGGTACAAGAAAAATACCTGCGCTAATTGTCTCCCATTTTGAAATGATAGACTAGAGCGAAGAGAAAGAGCGTACATCATCCATCACTAACTGTTGATGGCTCATAGAAATTATAGCTATCTTCGAATTTACTTTAATTTTCAAGAAAAGATAAACTTTAAAGGGCTTTTCGAAAATACAATTTTTTATTCAAAATTCTGAAATGTCGAAGCTGTTTATAGTTTAATTCCAAATTTTGTCCATCTTTAAATTTGTGTTTCGTCTTCAGCGATTGGACAGCGGTAAGTCTATCGATTTAGAACACTAAAAACTGAAGTTTGATCCCACACGGTGGACACAGCAAATAGCCTAACTTGCTTTTCTCTACCACAAACAAATTTATTTTAATTTTGGAATAAATAAAAACCCTGTTAAAAGTTTGCGAAAGATATATTTCATCACCATACTATTAAAATTCCAGCCTTGAAATTTCTGTGAAAATTTTATAAGATGCTAGGTCTTTAATTTTCTTTACATTAAAAACATTCTTATTAGTACGTTTGATAAAGAAAATGTTTTTAGTAAAAATTACCCTTGATGTTTTTCTCAAAATTTTATTCCTAATCCTTTTTAAAACTCTTTCGAAATAAAAATATACTTGATTTAAGCTTTTTCAAAAAATACCTTTTTACATTAATTAAATTTCCCAAGGCTTTTATAAATACTCACAGAATACCCAAGTCTTGTTTTTAAGAGTTTAATGAAGAAGTATGTCGTTCGCAAACCTGGAATACGACATTATTATTCGTAGATTAAAATAAATTTAAAAATGGACTAAATTTGGAATTAAACTATAAACAACTTCAAGATTTGAGAATTTTGAATAAATATACCTATTTTCGAAAAGCCTTTTAAAAGTTATCTTCTTTTTTTTTTGAAGAGTAAACCAAAATCGACGATAGTCACATTTTCTAAGAAACAGTAAGGCTTCATGCGAGAATTTAAATTTTATTTTTCAATAAAATTAGATTTTTAGCACTTACCGCTGCGCCAGTAGGGGAGAGGGGGTGTGTGCTAAAAATATGATAATCACGTGAGTAACCATAACAATAATAATCCACAAAACACGTGATTTCAGCAATTGTATAATCAATAAAGTATTTTTCAATAAAATCTCAAATATATAATATAAAAATAAAGCTTTAAAGGTTGGAGATTAAATATGGAAATTTATTTTACATACAAGATAGAGCGATTAAAGTCAGTAATGGTTGGAGACGGCTTGAATGGGTGATGAAGAAAAACTTTAATATAAGTTTAACATAACAGCAAATGTACAACGTTTCGACGAGGTTTTGTCATCACCTGATGGTCTAGAGTTAGATCTTTAAGAGTATGAATCCTCATCTTGTCAACAAAAAGAGGAATGTTTTTTTCGAATCACACTTTTTGTTTTCTCTTAGAGTAATATATGCACTTCTTATGATATTTTAAGCTCATGAAAATTGTATGAGCATGATTTACTATATTTCACAAAGGGCTTGGCGTGGTCTGGTGGTTATTATGAGCATGATTTACTATATTTCACAAAGGGCTTGGCGTGGTCTAGTGGTTATTATGAGCATGATTTACTATATTTCACAAAAGGCTTGGCGTGGTCTAGTGGTTATTATGAGCATGATTTACTATATTTCACAAAAGGCTTGGCGTGGTCTGGTGGTTATCGCAGCCTGCATGGATCGTTAAATCGAGGGTTTATAACTTGCGTCCTCCCATTGTCGCAAAAAAGAAAGAAAAACACGTTTCAAACTTGGGGCCTTGGGTGCGCTATACGAGTGGCGGTTAACTTACATTATTCTATCAAACAAGAGCCGCTCAAGAGTTGGTGATAGCTTCTGTTTACACGCTCACTTCACCCTAGTCTATCAGTTCAAAATAAAGGACGGATATACAGAGATAACCCTTGTGCGTGAAAGTTCTGAAATAAAACAAACCCTATTTCATGTTATTTATATACAATATATTATTCTTATTTCAGTGGTGAAGACAGTCAAACCTTTAGCTTTATTGGAACCAGATTATAATTTCTCTGTAATTATAGAAGACAAAAGTGTATTGAAGGGGAAGAATCACAAAGTAAGCAAATCTTGTAAGTCAGTATGATTGTAAAACGTTGGAATGATGTGAATTAGCTTATAACTAAACAAGACAAAAATGGAAATTATCTGCAAATATGGTGTAATTCTAATCAACTACTCTTCTAATAATCACAGACAGTTGGAGTGACTGACTTTTAAGTGTTATGTGTAATTGTAGCGCAGTGAAAACACAATATGGCTAATACGCCGTCTGCTTTATTGTGCACAATAAATAAGTTATATATATGTTTACCGAGGTAACACAGAGAGTAGAGATTCTGTTTTCTAATCTGAAAATTTGGTAAAAGGCTTGTAAGTTGATGACCACACTTGAAACACTTAGTATTTCCTTACTTAATCAATATGTCATAGCCCAATGCTTCATAGATCTTACTTGTGGTGTTGAAAAGGATCTTTCTCTATCTCATATTCAAGTCGTTCGTGCAATCCTATGTTCTGCAGACTGTAAGAACAACTAAGTTGTATATAATAAGGTAAGTAACTGGCGCAGCAATTCGGAGTAGATTAGATTTATCACAAAGTTAACCAAGACCTTTTCAGTAATCACTAAATACTTCCAGAATTTAAGTATATATACTCTGAAGTATGTGTTTTTACTTGTTTCTTCATCGGTGTATATTGTTTTAAAAATACATTTCTCCAGCTTAATCTACTTCACACCGAAACAGTTGTTGTCGTGTTCCTGCTGGCGAAAGACCTCGTCGACATAAATATAGCAGATATAGCGTGGTTAATGTATTATTATATATTACACTTTCATTCCTAAGTTTTTATTAGTAATTTTTGATAATCAATTTAAAGGTCTTTAATATTGTGCATGTTGGCACAGGTTCCTTACTGATTATTTCCATTAACACTTAAAATAGAGTGAATAGCCGTTGTTGCATTCTGGTTTTCATCAGCCACAGATTGTGTGTTTACGTTAGAGCCATCTATAACACCAGATGACTCATAAAGACGCTAAAATCTTCGGTCTTCTTTTATAAAAGCTTTAGAATGTAGGGTTAAATAATCGAACAGTAAAATGCCACGTTAAAAAGTTAGTATAGCACCGTCTGTAGCGTTTATAGAAGGAAATGATGAAAGTAAAGTGCGGATACGTAGGTCCGTACAGCGCTAATAGAAATCCCATAATAATCAGACAACTCATATGAACTAAGATAACCAGGTTGGTTACGGCAGAGTAAGCAGATAGAGTTTTGTAGCTCTTTTTATTTTTTCTAAGTCATTTTTAGACATTTTCACTTTAAAACTCGCCACAGTTTACTCTCAGCCACCGAAAAGGCTTCCAACGTTCTAACCAGCGTCACACGGTTATGGTCTGTCACTAGGAATGTTGATGAATAATAAGCGTGTTAGTAAACTTAGTCATAAACCTAGGGAAACCCAGCAACCTGGTACACCACAGCTATAACTTAGAGTGCTTCATGACATCATGTTACTAGCCTACAGTTTTGAAACTGAAACGTATCGGAAAATAAGCGTGTTAAAGATACTGCTGTTTCTTGTGGTTATATTTTAATTGTGTCTTGTGTTTCATAATATATAATTGTTTTATTTTTTTAAATACATGGTCCCTCAGTGGGACGGTGGTATGCTAAAATCCTAGTCTCGATTCCCCGCGGTGGATACAACACATAGACTGATGTGACTTTTCTCTAAGTTTGCTCTAAGTAAGAAAAAAAACAACAAACGAAATACACGAATTATAAGAGACACGAAATCTGCAATCGTAAAATGTTAGTCTAATAATTTTTGTTTTATCTTTCTACAACAAAAACTGGCAACGAAAGCTCCAGACGCATTACTTATGGGGATATATAGTATGAAAAAAGAGATGAATAATACATTTTTTGGCTATCAAATGAAAACCACACACAAATGTTTGAAGTATATGAAATATTTCATGGAAAGATGTATGGACAGTTTATTGAAATTATGGGCAGTACTATAATATATACTTTATTTTAGGGAGTTCAGAGGCGCCAGAAAAAGATCTGTGAAGCTTACCGAGTTTTTGTATTGAGTAAAAAACTATTTCTTTTTTTAAACTTCTTTACGAAGTTTTAACCATCTTACTTTATAGTAGCTCAGTGATATGTTGTAAAATCGTCCATCTGGATTAGAGCATAGACATTTATCTTAAATCCATTTAATTGTATGTACTCATATTTAAGGATTTTGAATGTTTTATTTGTAGCATAGATAATTCCACGTTTCTTTTTCTGGCTAACAAACATTTTGATCATTTGAATATAAAAGTCCCCGTTTTTAATTTATTCTCAAAGAGACAGGCAATATTAATTTTTCAGGAAATATTTAACATAGATAATTAATTGATTATTTTTATGTCATAACATTCATGGTTATTTCAGTATTTCATAGATATATATATAATTTCTATTGGATATATAGTAAACAAATACGTCACTTTTCTGAGACACAGTTGGTAAAAACGAGATCCGTTCTTAATATCAATAATATGATTATCTCAGATAATAAAATGAAAGACATATTAATTATTAATAATAATGCCTAACACAGGGAAATTCCTGATTAAAAGGCTTCGTCGACACTGGATATGTCACGTGTAATGTGGTTCACTTGTAAAAATATATTGCTTTCACTCATGGGTTCTTAGAATTGACAAACTTACGTAATAACTACATATGCTATGTCAGAAGGATAAAATTAATGAGGATATTTTACATATTTTTATAAAGCCTATTTTATGTTATGAAGAGTTAAAGATTTTGTGTTTTTAATGTTTTGCTTATGTGATATTCTATATATAAATCATGTCAATTGTAATTGGTTTTACTTAATACCATGTAAAACAAACCTAAGGTCTGCTTAGCAGGTGCCTTTTCTGTTCCATAAAGTACATCTCTAATGGTCTTTGCTCAGAGGCAGCTTTTGTCTTGATATAAACACCTGTATTAGAAAAAAACGTTTTTTAATTTTAAACACCATTCGTTATTTGAAAAAAAAACATCATGCATCTAAGACTCGATCTTTAAAAACATATGATAAATTAAACTTTACTAATACATACAAATTGTACTTTTAACACTTTTCTATTATAAGGAAATATTCCCATTCCAAATTTTTAACGTATACCTTTTGTATTTTCGGAGTAATAAAGTTATACTTTTGTAATTCAGATGTATTGTCGAGATATATACGTTTATTATACACTTATAAAATTAAATATATTCAAGCAGTGATATAGACCAACGTTATTTCCATCCAAATTACATTCATAGATATACATTTTAGAAATCAACTTTAAAAAATTGTTACTTGTAAAATTTAATTATTAATTAATGCATTGATTTTTGATACTACTAAACAATTCTGCGCTTTAGGTTACTTCAAATTTTGTTTGTGAGTATACCCACTACAATTAACTCGGAAAGCTGCCATTAATATTTTCTAGATTAGCAAATTAAAATCACTTTAATAATAAGTGGAATTCGTCATCCAGTTTAGAAAAAAGGGTAATATTTGTATATAACTTATTTCAAGCTATTAACTCTGTCTTATTTCAAATAGGTAACACTAATTCCAAAACAGGTTAATTCTGGATTTATTTCTATACGTGGATATTATTTTCACGGATCACTTCCTTAGCTCCAAAATATGATTTAACTGAAATTGGAATTTCTGTGAATTATTTCAATATATTGAGAATGATAAGAATTAGATGTACACTACTACCTTTAAGGATCCTCTTGTTTTGTAACAGTTTGTGTAACAGTGAATGCCATTATTTATTTAATGGTTAATTTTGTTTTCAACTAATACTGTTTTGTGAGTTGAGTATCACGTTTTATTTTGTGAAACCGTGGTTGGCAGAGCACAGATAGCCCACTTTGTTGCTTTGTGTTTAATTAAAAAAAAACACAATTTCATGACGCATTAAAGTGCATAACTTTAGCGAAAGCTGTGAATCATATAATTAAAGTTTAATTTGTCTAAACACTTATAAAGTTTAATGAAATTTGTACGATTTAAGTTCAATTGGTGATGTAAAATCTTCAAAGGAAACTTACCCTGGAAAAAATGGTCGCTAGTCTTGAGACTGTCACCGGATAAACGGTTGACATTGATGAAGTTTTGTTGTAGACATGAACATGGTATATGACCTGTAATACATATATTTATTAAATTTTATCTTAAAGTATAGCACAACAGCTATATAAATAAATTGCTTACTTTGTGCTTTGAAGAAAAAATATTTTGCTTTCATCGGTCTTACAAAACAACTAAGCAAAAAAAGCAAATAAACACCAGTTGCGTTACCCACATTGCATAAAACAGAAGCAATATGTTTATAAATATGATTATGATACATTTAAAAGAAGCAGCTGAAATAAGCCACTTTACAAAGTATCGAAACCCGGAATTTAGCGTTGTAAGTCCTCAGACATACCGCTGTGCCACTGGAAGGAGGGCAGGAAATTGTGTATTCAAAAGCGCTAGTTTAATCTAATAAGTTTTATTACCCGACTATATAAACTCCCTCAGTGAAATATGTTTTAATGCCCCATTGTAAATCCACTTTATCCATCACAGCATTATGTAAAGAATTCAATCGCCTTTGCTTAGAATATTGACATCCATTTGTTTTTTAGCCAGTTTTATAGGTTTGTGAATTATACGTTATACTAAGGAACATCTGCCTTCTTACCTCGTTTCTACAATTGTATTTATTTTTATTCCTATCTTGTGAAATGGAACAAGTGGATTCACTCAATGACCTTATATATATATATATTAAACTAAAACGAAAATTCCCTTTTATTCTCGTGGTCCTTTTACATTGAGTTTTAATACATATAATCTGTATAGCCGATCATGACGTGATGAGTGTCTATATAGCATAAGATCACATAGCAAACAAAATATGATAAAACAGGAGAGATAAATAAATGATCGATAGAAAATGGTTTGAAGTCTCTGATAGTGGTTGAAATATAATAAAAATATCGTGTAACCAAGTGTTCACCAGCTGAAAACTTAACTAAAGGATGTAATACTAGACAGTAAAATGTAAGTTGGCGATCAGATTAACAAAACCCGTGATAACATATATAAACAAGAGAGAGTGGATGAACAACATAATAATAAAATTCAATTTTGCGAAAAAAACGCAAAAAGGTTGACAAATTCCAGGTAAACTTTCCAAAGACATTTTTATTTTCTTGGCTTGGATAACCATTAGCAGAAAACTGCCTTTCAGATTACCAAATATTGCACCAGGTTTACAGCATCGCGACTGCTTTGAACCGAGAATTAATGAAACATTACAATATAACTCTATAGATACCTTAGGCAGTATAGGAGACCATGTAAAAACATTTATTTAGATCATAATCTTTTGTACTAGCACTTAGACTGCTATTGCGTGGGGAGAAGTATCTATAAAATATTTTTTTGCACTTAATGATTCTCTATAGAAACGTAAGTTTTTAAAATTCATGGGGCTAACACCAATAACTAATTGTAACATTTCGCTACCAAGCTATTTACAAAGTTACAAGACGATCATTAGTTATTACTAGGCTGGCGAAGAATGATCTGTGAGTTGAATTCCAGTACTTGCGAAAGGCCTCTTCGACAGACAACATGAGAAGGTATTTTAAACACTCTTGATACAGGGAATCCGTTGATACAGGAAATCCGTTGCAGATCAGTAAAGAAATATGCAATTGTTAACCTGATTACATATAAAACTAACATCGATCTTTTAAACACTGTTGATGGTAATTTTCCTTTCAAAACAATATCATATTCAACCAGATATTTGATCTTATGAACAGCAAGTATTTTCCGTTGATTAATGGGATCAAAGGTGTGGATAGCCAGTCGATCTAAATGAGATAATCTATGAAGATATTATCTTTAAAATGAAATAAGACTGTTATAAGAGTCGTTTGGCACAAAGGATTATTACTTCGATGTTAACATTACCCGTACGAGGTACCTTAGTAATTGTTTAACAGTAAGAATACATGAAAGTTTACCTGGTTTTTTTTGCGTTCAATTTAGGTACTGCAGCCAGTACCAGTCCAAATCTCTGAACAGTGGTCATTTGAACTGACATCTGAAGAGGAAATATTCAAGGTGACACCGAATACCGGGATTGTCTACATAGCAAACACTGAACGATTACAAACGATCGAAGGAGAAATGCGTCTAAACTTATCTTGGAATGTTAAAACGGAAAAAGAGAGAATCACTGTAGAGATCATAGTTAATGTTACTGACAAAGGTAAGCTATAAAATATTAACACATTATCCATTAGTTAACTTATCTATTCATTGTCGATTTATTTATTTAGCTATTGCTAACAGAGGCCTGAGATGGATTTATTATTTACACAGGCCTGCGATGGTTTTATTGTCTTGAAATGTTTACATGTTCTACAGTAATTCCAGTACGCTG